CACCTCTGTAAATAGTACCCACAGTGCCCTTCATTCACTTTTCCAATTACTAACTTCCCCCTACCCTCAAGATAGCCTGTTTATAAAGAGTGTATAAATGAGGTTATTCAGTATGTACTCCTTTCATTCAGTATGTGTCTGGATTCTTTTATTCAATATTATGTTTGAGATTGATACATGTCACTGCATGTAATTATTCTTTCATCCCCATTGCTATCGTATTCTGTTGTTCGGATTGTTTAGAATTTGAATCTGTTAAAAATGTGTTTTTGCACATATATTTTGTGGAACATATGCACACACTCCTGTTGAATATATACCTAGAAATGGAATACCTGGGTCATAGGGTATGTTAATGTTGAATGTTAGTGGAAGTTGTCAGTTTTCCAAAGTTGGTTGACCAGTCAATGTCAACCAACATTCCACAGCAGTGTATGGGAGTAAATGTTCCATCCACTCAGCATCTTTGCCATAGTTGATACTGCTGATTTTTTTACTTTAATCATTCTGATGAATGTGTAGTGATACCATATGGTACCTTAAGTTTGCTTTTAATGCATATAATTTTCATTTCTCTGATGATTAATGATGTTGAATATTTTCTGATATTTTAATTTGTTGTTTGGATATCTTATGTTGTGTGAATTACTTATTCATAGTTTTGACTAATTTTATAGTATCATCTGCTTTTTTGTTATAAATTTGTAATAGTCCTTTACATATTTCATATAGATATTACAAGTACATTCTCCTGGCCTGTGACTTGCCTTTTCACTTTTTAAGTGGTGGTGTTTGATAAAAAGAATTTAATTTTGAAGCTGTTTAATTTACTAAGGTCTTTCTTTATGTTTAGCACTTTGGGGATCCTATTAGAAACCCTTACTGACTGACTAAAGGGAATTAAAAGTGCAGTCAACTGATATAATTTTTCTGAAATTTCTATTGTTCTTAGGCAGACATTTTAGTCTACTATGAAGACTATTAGTTCCTTACTAGTCTAGTTTATGTATCACCTGTCCTCTTTCATTCACTGAAACATCTGCAGAGTATCAAGGCTTATCTAACTCTCTTGTCTCTTCACTTTCTCTCTCTAATTTGGGGGGCTAGTTGAAGATGAAATCCGCTGACGAGGGAAGGCCGAGACTTTAGCACCCTGTGTGTCCTCACAGAAGTGTCTCTGTCAAAGTCTCTATAATAATCTGTAGGCCCCTAAAAAACAAGTGGACTTGGATCTGGTCACCCTTGGTAGAAAGGCTGATGGAACCATAAAGGCAGAGATATTTAGGTAGCTGATACATCCCGCAGAATCTAGAGATAGAAGCTGGATTCATCTGTTACCAGAGAAATGAAATTTCAAAAGACCAAACCCAGACCTGAATCTCAGTTTCCTAGTCTGGACCTCTTCAGTGCTGTTATATCCTGGATGTACAATAAATGATGACTACATTTTTCTTTTACACATGAAGGTAGATGATTCTTCAGATTAGAGGTGGAAGCTGACTTTTCTCACCAGAAATGGTATGTACAGTCAACTTGCATAAAGATAAGAGGTGGCATGAGAAAGAATAAAATAATACTTTCACTTTTTTTTTTTTTAAAGGCTTATATAACTCCAGTCTGGAAGAGTTTTTTGTTCCTTCCTATCAAACCCAGCAATTCTGTTGAGTAGATTTCTTACCATGTCTAGTCACCCTGTCATCTATTTTCTGAGATAACAGCGCCCATTAGATGTGATTTCCTCTAACTTTCTGTCTTCCACTCCTACCTCACTAGATAGATCCTCGTCTGCATTTATTTCCCTTCTCCTGTTTCAGTGGAAGATGTTTCAGCGATCCATTCTTTTGTCCAAGTTGGGAATTGTTCCTTTCTTCCTCTTTGAATTGTCCCCTTTCCCGACTCTTCAGTGGCTCTCCTCTGCTCAGAACGTAGCAGTAGGTTTATCCCAGCTTAAAAAACAAAACAAAATTTTTGCTCTGTAACTCCTATCAGTTCTCTCATCTCAATCCTTCCTTAAAAAATAAATGTCTTGCACATGTGTAAAAGTACATAGCACTGAATCCACCCACATGAGTAGTGCCTGTAAAGCTAGTGAAAAATAAATAGAGTGGGATGGATTGCGTCAAATTCAGTTTCCTGGTTGTGATAGTATGGCTAGGCAAGAGGTTGCCATTGAGGGAAACTGGGTGTGTGAATGTACAATTATCTTGAAAAGTTAAAAGTGTTTCTAGAAATGGTCTATAATAACAATAGGCACCATTTATTGAGAACTTACTGTGTGCAAGGTACTTTTGAAAGCACTGTCAGGAGGATGTTATTGTTAACTTCATTTCATCGATGACAGAACCCAGGACTGAGCAAACTAAGTCATTTACTCGAGTTGTAAGTGGTAGACCTAGCTTTCACCTAGCTTTCAGGTGGGGCTCGCCCCACCCCGGAGATAGAGCTCTTCACCACTCTGCTGTGCTTCCTGCATATCTGTCTTTACAACTTGTCTTACTCTTACTCTTCAGCCCACTGCAATTTAGCTTCCAGCCCAATTATTCCTCTAAAACTGCTTTTACCTGGATTACTAACACGTCAGTTGCCAGATATAGTGGTCCTGTTCCTTCTGAAGCCTTTGGTATCAGTCATACCTTGATAAATATTTATTAAGCACCTACAGTGTACCCAGCTACATCTTCCAGCAGCGAATAAGATAGGCCAAACTGCTGTAACTGAAGGATGCATGTCTTTACTTGTTGCAGTTGGAGTCAGCAATCTTTAGATCTTTTCTACTCATCACTGCTGACTTGTTTGTGGGCCGTACATAAGCCATTTTACGGTCCCATGCCTTTGTTCTCCTATGGCTAAAACAGGTTCTATAGCTTGCAGTTTCACAGCGTAAGTCAGAAAATACTATATTTAAGATTCCATTTTTATTTTTACCCCCAAGTAGAAATCTGAAACCTTCCAAGCAATTGTCATGAATATGGATGAAGCAAGAGAGCCAAATCTGGAAGTATACCACTCTTTTTATATAACTATTGAAGATGAATTATGAAAATGTAATTGCTCTCGACCTCTTGCCTACTTTTCTATAGGAGGATAATTTGAATTAATTGTATGCTCCCTATTTTGGAAACACCAGGAAGATCTCTGCAGAATATTAAGTAAGTTTCATTCCATATGTCCAAATAAAAAGCTACTCCAAGGAAAATACTTGACTTTATGGAGACATGGTGGTAGCTTTTTGCATATTACCAAAGCTAAGCATTTGAGGCAGAGTGAAAGAGGCGTCATCTTGTCTCTTTCCACGTGTCCATGGTTATATTCTGTGTTTTCATTCCTTTCTCTCATTTCAGTAAAGAAGAAAAAAGTTCTCTTCTATTTCTTCATGCCAAAGTCAGTTCTAGTTTTATTAGTTCTAATGGGAATGTGTTTTTCCTGATGATTGGAAGTAACTCTAATCCTCTTGCTTACATCCAGGGTTGCTGTTTTTGTCTGATAGCTGTTTGTTTACAGCAGTTGTTATCAATTTGCATGGACAGTGCTGTCAAAGTCACTGCCCTCAATGAAACCCAAATGCTTCTTGGAAGAAAGATGACAGATTCAGCCCAGGGAATTGCAAAACTTTAAAAGTGATTCCTTGTCAAACACGTGAAAAACAACTCTTCCCTCTATATAACTGCAGGAAAAAAAAAAAGAAGAAGAAACTATCTTACACCAGATGGCGATTCCTTGCTAGTAAAATAGGCCTGGGCTGATTCGGCTCCATTCCTTTATGTTCCTTTTGCAAAACCCACAGAGAACACATTTGGGGCCACTTTGCAGAGTTGGCAACAGTCTGTGCTTTTTAAGGAAATCATATGGCCACATAAAAGCCACGATCAATGAAGGGTTAGGATTCCCCAGGGTCCAGGAATGAGACGCGTAGGACTTAAATTCTAGGTCATCAGAGTATGGCCTGGGCACAAGAATCATCCTAGTTGTTGCCAGGTTTGGTTGCTTGATTAAATTTGGTTAAAACAAAAACAAATTTGGGAATTTTTTTTTATTGACTAGACCTCTTCATTAAGTGAAGTAAAGAAAGGAGGAAGAAGAGGAGGAATTAGGAACTTACTCCTAATCTCCAATCATCCAATACTCTTTGGGATGATGAGATGATAGAGTATTCCTAGCTTTCAAATCACTCCAGATTAAAGAGCTCAGCCTTTAAGTCCAGTATTTTTCTCTACCATTTACATATAAGGTAATATAGCTGCTTTTATATATTTAGAAGTCATGTAGGGGGGACTTGGAACCAGTTTGTATGAGTGCGTGTTTGTGTCTCCTTAATAAGCTAGGCTTCTCTTAAAAAATTGTATTTACTTATTTATGAATCATTATTTATCTAATTTTTTAGAGACAGGGTCTCTTGCTGTATTGCTTAGGCTGAAGTGCAGTGGTATTCACAGTCACTGCAACCTGGCACTCCTGGGCTCTAGTGATTCTCCCAACTCAGGCTCCCGAGTCACTGGGACTGCAGGTCTGCACTGTCATACCTGGCTAACTTATGAAATTTTTTGTAGAGATGGAGGTCTCACTATGTTGCCCAGGCTGGTCTGGAACTCCCAGCCTAAAATAATCATCCCACCTTGGCTTCCCAAAGCACTGGGATTATAGGCATAAGCCACAGTTCCTGGGCAACCTTGGCCTCTTAAAGATGGAATAGATATGTCAGGACATAATGAAACCCTCTCACTGAAGATGCTGAAGCAGAGTCCGGCCACCCACCTGCTAGGGGTGATGAGGAGAGGATTGAAACACTAGATTAGTAATCATGTCATTGGCTTTATGATTTCTGCTTCTCTGAAATCTGTGTGTCCTGAATCAGAGCTAAGCCCCCTTTACCTGTCTTTCTTTTAATAACCTTGATTTGGGGTATATTCAGCAATTTAAGGTAATACTTGTCTGTTTAGTTTTTTCCTCATATGCAAGACAACACTGGGCACTTTTGTTAATGTTCTATTTTATTTCTTTAGGTGTCTGAACACACGCAATTAAGTTGGATCCTTTCCTGCATGGTCCGATTACCTCGATTACAACATTTACACCAGTGGAAGGTAAATGCTAGTAATAGGATTGATTAAACAAAAAGGAAGTGCTTTTTCCCATCCTGTTCATCTTCATGTTAGGCCCTGGGCACCCAAGGACTTTCCTCCCTGGTCTTCTGCTCACTGGTGGCTGGAACCGCACCTTTAAGCTCTCTGCTTTAGGTCCCAGCAGAAAGTAAAAGGATTTTCCAGGATTTCTTCCCACTTAAAAAACTCCATTAATTATTTGTTTTTATCTGTGTATGGTTGAGTCAGAGTTACCTTTAGATAGACATGGTAATGATTTTGAACCTACTACGTTATGATTCTGGACTAGCAAACCCTGAAATCGCCTCCCACCCCACTGGAATTAACTGGCAGTAAGGAAAGAATGTTTTCATTGTGGGGAGAAGAGACAACATATTTTATTTAACATTTAAACAAGTTGAGTCCAGGCAATAGTTCAAACCCACAGAAAAATTAAGGCTGCACTTTTTCTAAGAAGTTCAACCGAGGAAGACAAATTGGATAATTCATAGTACTTTACTTCCATTTATTTTTGCAATTGGATAACCCCAGGGTAGGTAGCGCCCAGCTACATCAACACTAACTTCAATTTCAAGCTTTTTTCAAGCATATTTTCAGCACCATTGGTTTCCTCAAGAGCTGGTCTTTAGAAGCCTTCACTTAACACTACAGAAAGAAACAGGCAAAGCTTTAAACTGACAGAGCCCAAAAGCTATGCTCTGAATGTTGGTGCCTCCCACCTAACCCCCAAGATGATGGTGTCAGGAGGTGATTAGGTTATGAGAATGGAGCCTTTATAAAGGAAGCCCGGGAGAGGCCCCATCCATCCTATGTGGATACAGCTAGAGGGCACTGTCCAGGAACCAGGAAGTGGTTCCTCACCAGACACCAACTTTGCCTTAATCTTGGACTTCCCAGCCTCCAGAACTGTGAGAAGTAAGTTTCTGTTGTTTATAAGCCACACAGTTTGTGGTGTTTTGTTATTCCAGCACAAAGGGAGTAAGACTCTCAGTAAATAAGACAGTATTAGTAGTGCTGCAGATTCATTACTTGCCAAGAATTAGAAACAAAATTTCATAATGTTCTCTGCCATGTTTTGGTTTTAGCTAAGACTTTCTCATTTTATCGTAATACCCTACCACTAAGTTTAGTGCTGAAATCTCTTTTGTAGGAACTGAATACTAACTTAGTAGGGACCATTCCCACTTTAACATAGCATTTAAGGATTTCCTAACACATTACTAGAGAAGGTACTGATATTCTGGAAAAGCCTTCCCACTAGTCCATGATTTCTTATTTCTAGGAAAAACAGGGATGTCAAATCCTAGCATCATCCTAAGGCATGTTACGGCCTACTCCAGTCATTTTGTCTTGTGGTTCCTTCTCTGAGTGATAGGTCTGCTAGGTGCTGGAAATAGAGCAGTCAACAAGAAGCGTCTAGTGTACTTGCGAAGAGACGAATAAGTAATAAGAAAGTGTGAAAAGTGCTCTAAGGGCAGGACTCCCATGTTCTGGGAGGATCTGATAAAAGCACCCAGCTTGCTTTTGATTAGGACAATGAAGGGTGGAACAGTGACGTGGAAAAGGGGGTCAGGCTTGCTGAGGTCAGGGTTATTTGGAGGATTAATGGGTAACATAGGCAAGGCATTTGGGGATACATAATAGGCATTCAATAAATACTAATGTTTTCCACATCTCCCCCCTTCTCTTGTAATTTCAAACTCCAGTATGCTAATATAAAAAGACTGAAAACTTAATGCAGCTTTTAAAAATTGAGTTCTTTTCACATTTTCTCATTAACAAATTAAATTTTCATTCTCTTTACCTAGTGTTAATTGTGAATTAGCCATCATCATGGACGTTATAATTAGGGATGGATGTCCTGAGGGAACTCTATGCTAAACTTTCAAATTTCCTTTGAATGGCTTATAGCATTGGTTGCTGTGAGCCGGAAACTGTTTGCAGAATAATCAAAAAAGATAAGTTTGTAACTAAATTTTGAAGCACTGAAATTTAGATGGCTCAAGAGAGAAGCTATAGTATTTTCAGTCTGTGCCTTCAAGGCCATGTTTACATATTGGTGGGAGAAGCCTGACTTGTGAGCTCATGAGTTTGGTTCCTGGAATTGTGCAAGTTTATAAATTGAATTGTTCAGTTAATTCAGAAATAATCAGACTTGAGGGAAGTGGTTCATATTAATTAATCAAATAGGATTTATTTATATACCAAAATAGCCACTTATTTTACAAGAGATAATATGCCCAGGCCTTGACACAGCACACAATATTTGCTTTTAATAAATAGCTCTGCTCAGAGAACCCAATAACATGTCAGTAGTGTTCAGGTGCATCAGGAGAGTATTGCTGGGACTCATGGTTGATGGGTACATGCCCATGGTTTACAGACAGTACCTATTGCTCACCGGTTATTGACTATTTCCACTGTGATTTCTGGTGTTTCCATCAACTTCATTAAGGGACTGTTTTGGCTTGTACAACCTGTACTGATCTTTGGTGTAGCTCTACCTCACTGCCCCATGGTACTTAATCACCTAAAGATCAGGACAGATCATTAGGATAGGTCAACTTAAAATTTATCTTATTTAGTTTCATTTTTTAAATTGTGTTTTTTAATTTGTTTTTTTTCTTTTCTTTCTTAAGGTGTGATTTTAAAAGAACATTCCAGTTTTGTCAGAAGCACAGCGTGAGACTTTCTGGGAGGTCTCTACTGATAAACAATAGGGCTTTTGATGTCAACTCATGTTAATTTGTAAAAATTTAATTTCATGAGAATTTATGACCTATTTTATGACCTGTCTGTGAAATCTGGAATTTATCTGATTCAGAGCCTAGAATACTCCTATGCCCTTACTTAATAAAATGAATAAGAGATAGGAGCAGTGTAGGATCTTTCAAAGGGACAGTGGTGAGATGGATTCGCCCCGTTCCTGCCTAAGCCTGGGGCATGGAGACAAGCCAGCCAGAGGATGGCTAGTTTTGCTAAAAGGAACCAAGACAGAATGTTATTACAGGTGGCTTTAGATTAAACTATGCTTGCTTTAAAAATTTTTTAATTTAGCAATTTAATTAGGTTCAAGTCAGATTTCTTCCCTCCTCTCTTTTCACCCCCTACAGGCAAAGAGCTCCAAGCAGAAGCATGATGGAACGGTGGGCCTGCTCACGTACCCAGTACTCCAGGCAGCTGACATTCTATTGTACAAGTAAGAAGAGTCCACCCCTATCTTATTCATACTGATGATGATGAGGCAGTGTTTTAACTCATCCAACAAAGACATGGGCAAGGGAGATGCAGAAAGGATCAAACACACAAATCAGTTTATATCTATTCCCTAGAAATAGGTGCTAGATTATAGAAGTATGTTTCAATGAAAAACTAAAAAGATAACATTTAAATAGTACTTAGTATGTGTTGGGAATCATTCTAAGTGTTTTACCAACATTAACCCTCCCGAAAACTTTGTAAAAGTTTGCACTGTTAGCATCCCCATTTTACAGATGAGGAGACTGAGGCATAGAGTGTTAGTAGGCTGCCCAGAGTCTTGTGACTAGCAAGGCTGGGAACCAGGATTTCAGTCTATACTCTGAATCAATATGCCACAGACACTTCTCCAGTAATAATTAAACTTCAAGTGTTTTAAATGTTGATTTTGTAGATAATCTGGACTCTCAAGCAATGTTGTCCTACAGAACTTGCCATGATTGTGGAAATGTTCTCTTATCTGTGCTTTCTAATACTGTCGCCCAGCGCTGTTCAACCTGCAGCAGCCACAGTGCTGATTTTGTGAGGACTTCTTTGCTTTATGCATGGGCCTCTTTTTGCTAATCAGCTTTTGTTAGTGTTTGTGTATTTACTGTGTGGCCCAACTCACCTTTTACTCTTCCAGTGTGGCAGAAAAGAAAAAAGATTGGACATTCCTTTAGCCACTAGCTTCAGGTGGCTACTGGACACTTGAAATGTGTTGCTAGTGCCACAGAAGAACTGAGTTTTAAATTTTATTTAATTTTAATTAATTTAAATTTAAACAGCCAACTAAGGCTAGTGGCTATTATTTTAGACTTACAGGTTGACAAGTTTTTAAACATGATATAGACTATCTTTACTCTTCCTGGACCCATAGTCCGTACAGTCAGCTACTGCTGCCACTTAAAGGCCTCAGAACTATACAAGCAAGAGTGCTGAACCTCGTGCTGCTGGCCAGGGCTTCCCATCTCATCCCACTCCCTGCTATCCCTGCATCATCCTCCCTTGGGCCCCACTGGGGTTTCTAGAAATAAAGCCTCCCAACTGACAGGCACTTAAGAGCCTTAGCCATGCTACTGTGAGAGTTTCTGGGGGTTAAAGAAACTCTATCAAGAATGTTTTTGTATCCCCTTACCCCTAAAGCTCTAATTCTTCCCTATGAAAACTTTGCATGTAAGTCTGATAACAGTTAGGATGGAAACAAGACAGAAGAGCTGCTGCTTAACCCAACTACTAGGGAATGTCCATGGGTACATGCAGCCTGTCTTTAATTCTGATTAGGACTTATAAAGATTATTTTTCTATTTGTGTATTAACTTGAAGGCTGGACATTTGGTAACATTTATTATTTGTAATAGGTGACTTTTGACTTACTTGGGGGAAGTCTAGAACACTTTTCTCTAACAGATAGCATATGAAAGTCTAATGAAATGTCTCAAAAATACATTTCCTAAAGGAGCAGGTTATTTACTTTAAAAGATCCTGCAAAGAATCTTGATTTTCTCACCTATAAAATAGGAAAAATTATTCTGTATAGAATCGTTGGAAGATTGAAATGAAATATGGGCCAGGTAGGGCTGTGACTGGGAGCTAGCTGTTCCTTGGGTATAATTGCTGATAGTTATGTCTTGAATGACTAAAATCTCGTATCTAGTTTTGTTTTCAAGACCCACTTCTTTATAGAACCAAAGTCTAGCCTGGTTTGGTGGCATGTACCTGTAGTCCCAGTTACTAGGGAGCCTGAGGTGGGAGGATTGTTTGAGCCCAGGAGTTCAAGTCTAGCCTGGGAAATACAGAGAGACTCTGTCTCAAAACAAAACAAACAAACAAAAAACCACAAAGGATGAACATTTTCAGCACTAGAATAGGAAAACAAATGAGCATGGTAGTGATACCGGAATTTCGTCTTCAGTAAATTCTCGTCTCAGTGATTTGAAGAATGAATCCACAGATCAGTGGTAAGACAGGATGTATTTACAGAAAAGAATACAGAAACACCAAAACCCAAGTCGGGAGAGAAAAGCGCTCTCTCTCTCTCTCTCTCTCTCTCTCTTTCTCTCTCGTCTGTCTCTCTCACTCCCGGCTCTTTGTCTAGGGTTATATATAGTCACATTGGGCCCTCTGTAGTTACATTAGTTACATGGGGCTCCACAGTTACATTTAGCATGTCTGTGAGTGTCTGGTCATGAATGAAGGGCTACAATTCCTTTCATTCCCAGGCCTAGGAAATTTGTATGAAATTAACCAGGCCCAGGAAATGGGGGGTTCCCTGTACAGCCCCAAGTGCAAGGGGAGGGAAACCTAAGGTGCTGGTGTCTCCCCCGTTGTTGTCTGGCCCCTCCAGCTACTGGAGCCTCCTGCAGGGGAGGGAGGGCGGCCTGCCTGCCCTCCAGCCCACTACTTCCTCTGCTTGCTGCCACCGCACCAACACCACCAAGGCAGAGGCAGCTGGTCCACACCCACATCCAGCTCCATTGAGCTGGCTGGGACGCCACTTGTCCTTATCAGTTGATATTTCCTAACATTTCAAGAGGTATAATAGAGGAGCTCTCTAAGCTCAGGTCTATGAAAAAGGGTAAACTGTAAAGAGAGTAAATACCCTCTTTTTTTTTTTAATTTCAGGTTAATATGAGTGTAGAAACAACCAGGTCACAATATTTGCATTTATTAGGTAGAGTCTCTCTTGCAGTTGTGTCCCACACCCAAAGGTTTGCCACGCACCCCTACATTGTGCCCATTAAGTGGAAGCACCCTAAACCCCCTGTCTCCTCTCCCTTCTCCCTCATTCCCCCTTCCCCCAACTTCAATTGAAATGAGTTTTTCTCCTCTGTGGATGTGAGTTAGTTCATCTAATGGCTTCATATTAGTATTGAGTACATTGGATATTTACTTTTTCATTCTTGTGATACTTTACTAAGAAGAGTGTGTTTCAATTCCCTTCAGGATAATACAAAAGATGTAAAGTCTCCATCTTTTTAATGGCTGAATAATATCCCATGGTATACATATACCACAATTTATTAATCCATTCCCAGGTTGGTGGGTATTTAGGTTGTTTCTACATTTTGGCAATTGTAAACTGAGCTGCGATAAACAATTTAGTGCAAATATCTTTATGATAAAAGGATTTTTTTCTCAGTAGATGCCTAGTAGTGGGATTGCAGGGTCAAATGGGAGGTCTAATTTGAGTTCTTTGGGGATTCTCTATACTTCTTTCCAAAAAGGCAGTATTAATCTGCAGTCCCACCAACACTGTAAAAGTGTTCCCTTTCTCCACATCCATGTCAGCGTTTGCAACTTTGAGACTTAGTGATGTGGACTAATCTTACAGGGGTTAGGTGATATATCGCAGGGTGGTTTTCATTTGCACTTCTCTGATGACTAGGGACAATGAGCATTTTTCCATGTGTTTGTTAGTCATTTGTCTGTCTTCCTCAGAGAAGGTTCTAGTCATGTCTCTTGCCCAGTGATAGATGGTATTGTTTGCTCATTTTTTGTTGATTGATTTGAGTTTGCTGTAGATCCTAGTTATCAATCTAGGATCAGATTTGTAACATGCAAATATGTCTTCCTATTCTGAAGTTTATCTGTTTGCTTTGATTGTTGTGTCCTTCTCTGTGCAGAAACTTTCAGTTGAATTAAGTCCCATTTGTTTATTTTTATTGATATTACAATCGCTGCAGAAGTCTTCTTCATGAAATCCTTCCACAGGCTGACATCTTCAAGAGTTTTCCCCACACTTTCTTTGAGGATCTTTATCATTTCATGCCGTAGATGTAAATCTTTATTCCATCTTGAATTAATTTTTGTGAGTGATTAAAGACAGGGTCCAGTTTCAGTCTTTTACATGTGGGTATCCAGTTCTCCCAGCACCATTTATTGAGTAGGGATTCTTTTCTCCAGTGTATGCTTTTTTTTGGTTTATCCTTTATCAGATGGGCTGGGCGCAGTGGCTCACGCCTATAATCCTAGCACTATGGGAGGCCGAGGCGGGTGGATTCCTTGAGCTCAGGAGTTCAAGAGCAGCCTGAGCAAAAGTGAGACCCCATCTCTACTAAAAATAGAAAAACTGAGGCAAGAGGATCATTTGAACCCGAGAGTTGGTGATACCATGGCACTGTACCCAGGGGGACAGCTTGAGACTCTGTCTCAAAAAAAAACAAAAACAAAAACAAAAAACAGATCAGATGTCTGCAAGAGACTGGTTTTTATCCCTTGGTTTTCCATTTGATCCCAAATGTCTATGTCTCTATTTTTGTGACAGTATCATGCTGATTGGTCTTTGTAGACTTGTAATATAGCCTAAAGTCTAGTAGAGTGATACCTCCAGCTTTATTTTTATTACTAAATTGCCTTGGCTACACGGGGTTTTTTTCTGGTTACATACAAAATGAAGAACTTTTTTTTCCAATTATGTTTGTATCCTAATGGGGATTGACTCTGTAGACTACTTTGGGAAGTATAGGCATTTTAGCAATGTTGATTCTTCCCAGCCAGGATCACTGTATACTCTTCCATTGTTAATGACTTCTGCAGTTTCTTTTCTGATGGTGTCATAATTCTCTTTGTAGAGGTCCTTCACCTCTTTCATTAGGTATATTCCTAAGAATTTTATTTTCTTTGAAGTTACCATGATGGGAATTATGTCTTTGATTAGCTTCTCAACCTGCTGTTGTTGGTATATACCAAGGTTACTGATTTGTGAACATTGATTTTATACCCTGAGATTAAAAATACAATTATATTAGGTAAATATAAAAAGGGATATCTTAGCTGTCGTATGAGAAATTCATGTGGGAAAGATGAATTGGTAGAAAAATTTGGTAGAAAAATCCCTACCAAAATTGAGATAAAAAGAGAGAAATTTAAAAAAAGAAGAAAGCATAAAAGGGGCTGAAAAACAGTAACAAAAGTGGAGGAGCCCTTGCTATTGAAGAAAGTAAAACTAAAAAAAAAATA